TCTTTCATCTCCCTCTTAATCATAATGCCATTTTCATTAAAGCCACTTCTAATAAGGCTCAATCTGCTCTTCAAGCTGAGCTGTTAGTGTCAGGATACACGTAGGCTACGATAGCATAAATCAAAATTTTCTATCGCGTAAACCAGGAACCATGCAAGTATTAGATCATAGATCATTACCACTCGACACGCTGCGCAGCAGAAGAAGACGCTGAGAAGTCGAAGGAACTCTCGTGAAGTAGCGCGCGTCGATGTAGAGGAAGTAGTCGATCGCACCGGTTCGACCTTCTCCTCCTCGTGCGTTCTCCTCGCCGTACTCCCACGCCGATCAGCACCGCAGACCAGCGGCGCCTCTACCGGTATCCACACGTACAGGGACGGAACGCCACGCGCAGATGTGCTAGCACCCGCGCGCGGCTAGGGTTTTGCTCGGGGAGGGAAGTGACGGCTAGGGTTTCTCACGTGATGCGAATACGTCCGCCGGTCACACCCTTCACGAATTTATAGGATCCATCACTCGGGCCTTGGAGGCCCGTAGGACTCCTATTCGGATCCCTATCTGAATTAAGCTCATATTGGATCTCTATCCAATCCCCTTATTCCGGCCCATTAAGCGTGCGACCCTGTAGGTTCATGTATACTCGGCTGTAACACGAAAACTCCTTTTCGGTCCACGCGTCAACAGCGGCCCCTAGCAGAACGTATTGACCCACCGATAATACATAAAGATCATACCGGCTGAACCTCTAGTGTATACTTGTATGAACCCCTTTGCCTCACGATATCGATTAAGCTCAAGGCTAGATATGTGCCATCCTCTAATAGCTCAATCGTTCACTCGAACCTGTGATAGATTATATAACTTGTGATTGACTCCTCAATCACCTTTGGCATGGCCATGCACTTCCATAATTTATAACATTGAGGGGCCCAGAGATATCTCTCCAAAGGAGGGGCAAATCCCATCTTGATTATTCATATCCCACTACATGTTTCATAGCATACCCGAAAACTGCTTTTATAACTACTCAATTACAAAGTAGCGTTTAGTAGTTCCGAAGTAAGCTATTACACATGTTGGGAACCATGATAATCTCAGGTCTAAGGATTCAACACCAACACTAAATGAGATCACTGATGACACAACACATATGGCTCTTGCAGTGTCTCATGTTGGGTCTATCCAACAACATGTAACATGTTCACCAACATGTGTCCACATTATTAATTTGGTATCTCTATACCATGATCCATAAGACATGATCATCAATTAATACATGTGCTGATCATTTAAACATATTTGTTCCACATATGATATTTGATCAGGGATCCTTTAGAAATAGTAACAAACAACATAAAGAGTCTCATGAAAAAATCACATATTCATTAACCAATAATGAGTTATCTATTTTAAGGAACAATATCGGATAAATATATAAACATAGTATGTGATACAATCATCTCTATGATTGGCTCTAGGGCATATCAACAGTTAGCTCTCCAATTAGCTTTGGAAATTTCCAAGTTTCTTGATATTGCAGGCACCACGTTCCTGACGGATAACTCTACCATTGCTGATACGGCAAAAAGGAGGAATTTCTTAGAGGAGCCATGTCACTGGAGCTTAAGGCCATTGTGGACTCAAATCATTTCCGCTACCTCAATTGATCTCATACAGGTTCGATGGATTCCAAGGGAAGTTAACAAGATGGCGGACAGATTAGCGAAGGAAGCTAAGTCCATAACCAGGGGGGACTTAGTTCAAAATTGCCAAAACATGGCGCACACTGCATATCCTCAGAGAAGTTGTTATGCTAGACTTCTGAATGACAATTTCAAATCTCTTAACTGTATGATCAAATATGTACTATGTTTCTAAGTGCTAATAATATTTACCAGGTTTTCAAATAAAAAATTATACTCTACGCTGCCGATGCAGACGACAACACACTAACAAATTAATTACCAGCTGCGTTGAAGAGTTATGTTCGGTCATGGTTGGTTCACCTCCCTTCTTCCTCAATCTCTTCCTGGGCTGACTTATGCAAACAGTTCGTCAAAAAAAACTTCCAAAGCACCTACAAGAGACACACGACCCTGACGACCGAGAACGACTGCACGCTTTGCGTCAGAAGCGTGGTGAGCCACTCAGAGAAGTTCGGTGGAAATGGAACTTCTTCTACTACTCCCTCCGTCCTATTATAAGGGCAACCATAAGTTTTCGCACCCAACTTTGATCGTTCGTCTTATTTAAAATTTTTTATAATTAGAATTTTCGTTGTTATGAGATGATAAAATGTGAATAGTACTTTACTCGTGACTTATGTTTTTAATTTTTTTAAAAAAATTTTCAAATAAGACGGATGGTCAAAGTTGGACGCGAAAAACCATGGCTGCACTTATAATGGGACGGAGGTAGTACAACGCACTTCTTTGTAAATGGAACTGAATCTTTGACTATTTTTTTGGATTGACAGAAATTGCAATGCTTTATGTTCAATATAATTACTTCCTTTTGCATATTAGTATAACACATGCATGTGAGTAATGCTCTGGTTTCTGGTGGAGCTCGAGCTTTGCCCCAGCCTAATGTTTCTTGAAAAAAAAAAGTTATATGGCGTGGCTAAAAGATTTAGATTTTTCAGGAAGCATATTTTTGGAACCTATTCCTAAAACTTGTGCGAAACAGTAATAATTTGCTAGTTTAAGGATTAAACCAGCTCTGGATGGTGGAGAAAATATAGGTTGCTGTCCTGATACTTGCCAAGATGTTGTCATTGTATTCAACTAGGTGAAACCACGCGCATTGCTACGGGAGTTTAGTATGATAACAATAAGTAAAATAATGTGTAAAATAGCTCATACAAGTTGATATGGTTTATGATAATTTAAATTAAAATTGTATACAGAATGATGATTCAAATGTAAAATAGGTGATGTTGCTTTATGAGAAAAAAAAGAAGTGAGATAATTTGGAACATAGATTAATTATCTAAGACTAAAAACAATTGATGTGATATGATTTAATGAGAGAAAAGATAAATAACACTAAGTGAGGATGAACTATATAGGTATATATGGTATTAAAAAATGATGAAGAGATATATTGAAATATTATGTGAATTATGTGGGATAATGATTTAGCATGCTTGCATTTTAAAACTCTAAAATTTAATAAATTATAAAATTATAGATAATATAACATGCCTGCATAATGTTTAAATGTAATAATTGCTACTGGATGATGATGTAACATCTAGTTATTGCATGATGACGTTGGCGTATTTGTATGTTGAGCTTTAATATTTAGTGGGTTATAAGTTTATAGTAAAATAGGATGTGGCCTTTCTCATTAGACAGCAGCAGACAATCCACTTTCAATCTTCCTAGTTGTATTCCAAGAACCAATATATATACATTTGCAAAGTCATATATCAATTTATAACTAATTAACTCATTGTCATCAGCGTCCTGCACACACACGTATAATGTTGGAGACAACTTCGTCGGGCGCCCGATCGAAAGGGGGTAAAATCGGGCGCTAACGTCAGCATGACGTCGGCGCCCGATTTACATGCAAAATTACTTTAAACTGATTTTTCTTTTAAATTACTTATCCAAATCATGATCCGATTGTACCATTAAATTCGTTGCAATTAAATCTTCAAAACAAGACCACACATGGATATATTCCGACGAAAAAATTTTAGCTTATTATTGAATTATTTTTAAATGTTGCACGATGTTCCACTAGGTATATCGAAATTGTTTCACTAATTAGATCGAAAATGTTTTACTCGTTTAAATCGGGTGTTATTTCACCTTATATAAAAACAATGTTTCCGCAAATAGCGAAAGAATGTTTCAGTTCACTGCAACATTAGATCTATACATAGTGAAACATTGTGAGTACACTAGGTGAAATATTTTTCGGTGGAACAAAAAATAAACCAAATTCCCTTAATAGGGGTTTTCCAAAATATGTGGGTTTTTTTTGTTGCAAAAGAGTATTTTAATTCACTACATCATTAGATCTATAAATAGTGAAACATTGTAAATACACTAGGTGAAACATCTTTTGTGAAAAAAGGAAGAGAGAAGTGGATGGGCCCACTAGTGCGCACGTGGGGGGAGAGGGCGCAGGGAAAGCGCCCGATCCGGCTCCCCCTACACCGGGCGACCGAAGGAAAGTATTTTCGTATAATGTTGCTTCAATCAGGTTATTCTCCCAAACGGGAGGCGATCTCTTCGTCCCTGGTATGGCGGCACGAGGACGGAACGCCAACGCCACTAACGCAGACCAAGCTCAACCGCTGCTCCAATTATTAGCCCGGTCGGATTGGGATTCGGTGACATTCCCCCGTGACATTCTCGGTGACATTGAGTCACTGACATGTGGGACCAACATGTGCCTGGACCCACATGTCAGTGATCTCAATGTCACCGAGAATGTCACGGAGGAATGTCACCGAATCCCAGTCCAGCCCGGTCACGGTCAGGACGGACCATGGTGGTCTCCTCTTCACGTGTTTCCGCCCATCGCCTACCAGGTGATGGGGTTGCCTATTGAGACGCTCTCCCTACCTGATGAGTGATGAGGAGACCAGAATGCCCCGCATTCTGATGGTGTAATCGTTGACGAACTTTTGAGGCCAAATAATAAGATTTATGCTGTGCTTAGTATCGAACTAATGGCGAACGTCTTGGGTGTTTCTAACAAACTACGTGCAACGGGCATACCTCTCTAGAGAAGAGTACTGGCAGGGAGACAGAAGATGCTACGAGCTAGATGCATTTTGTTACCCTAACGCGTCTTCTTGTTCTCTCCAGTAGTCCAGTGAGCTTACAACAAGATGATTTGCAGCGTTTTCCAGTGCTGTTCTCGTACGCAGTGTGCTCCTTTTACCATATAAAAGGCACTGGCAGCATTTCCAATTACAATTTGCTATGGCCTGCACAGATGTCAGACATGAGCAAAACATTCAATATCAGACATGAGCAGAACCTTCAACATCAGAGACACGGGTAAAACATTCGATATCAGACATGTGCAAGACTTCACGAAATGATCCAGGTTAATGGAACTGGTAGGGAATAATGGATGGTTCGGTGCCTAACATGTCGCCAAATCCATTGGCATCCCACAGCATCAGCAAAAGGATGTTCCCGAGTTTTGTTCACACATACGAGAGAAAGGTCTCATTTTATAATACGCTTTATACATTCCCAGCTTGTATGATTGAATACCCCAGATGCCGCTGGATCTAGACATATTTAGTCTTCCCACGACTCTCCTGCTTCTTCACCTGTAATCATGCACAGAGATATCAACAATTGAAGTGCACAGTTCCAGCAATCATCTTGACTATTGACTACATGTTTGCAATTGAATGATAGGTGCTTGCTTACTTACCACTCTGAATTCTGACCGCAGCTTGCCCACACCTACAGGGCACTCCCCCTTCTCATCGTAATCAGCAAACTCACCTTCAGAGCAGTCAATGTCAAATGAAGTCCCTTCCAGCTTAAGAAGAGATTGCAGGATGTAAGCACATCATAAATCAAAATAACCAGACAGGGTTTGACATTTGAGGTACAGACAACATTGTCAAAATACTGTATTTTTTGCCAGTTAATGCTTCTATGCCCTCTTAAATATCTTAGAACATTGGTCAAGCACTTATCAGGATCCCAGGCCATATATTATACTCAAATTCTTAAAAGTTTACTTTTCTTATGTACTACATACAGATGAAGAAAGCATGCAATTTATGCGGTACCAAAATGTACATGAAAATTGTTTCTACAAAACGTGTTGCCCATTGTAAGAAAAATCCTATGAATGCATAAACTTCAAGGAATATGCTAAAGAATTATACAAGCAGAACAATAAATTAGAACAAGAGTAAATTGTAAGTAAAAAAACAAAATATACAGAGCAAACTATGTTATAGTTGTACTTAAAGATTTCTTTCTTCATAGGATACAGAAGCATAGTTAAAAAAGTAACAACATGGCTCATGTATGGCATATGAATTCTCCTGAAAAGATTAATTATTTGTTACTGATAAACCTAAAAGATTGGTTTGGTATATGTAAGCAGCTAACAAACAAAATCCTGGGCTCAAATCAAAAGTTTGGTAACAAACAGAAAACTAAAGCACATGATTCTTGCTGTGAAATAAGCCCAAGAACTTACAGATTCAGCCTTCCAGCCATTACCAAAAGCGAAATCAATAGGTTCACAGCCTCTGCAGTCAAAGACCATCAAACAAGTTCTATCTCCTTTTTGGCTCTGCTCCATAGTCAGTGGTGTCCCCTGCCCAGGAATCATCACAATCGATGCATCCCTCCCACAAAGCTTGCACTGAGAGAAAAGGCAAAATATCATATGATGAGCATCTATACAAGGTACAGCTGAACCATGATAAATTGACGACCGAACATCAAATAGTGAGTAGTACTCCCTGCCAATGAATTATCATAAATTGGTCCATCCCTTCTACAAAGCTTACAATGAGAGAAGAAATAAAACATACATATATAAGGTACAGCAGTACATCACAACGGTATGATAACAACTGTCAACCAACAAAGATGAACACCACGAAATTATAAAACTAACTTTCGTTGATCACACATAGGTTCCCTCTGTTATGGACTTCTCATTCTAACAGTCTAGAGCTTTCATGCAATAAACAAAGATATTGTGCTGTTGAGAAAACGTTGTTTTCAAACAGACATAGGACACACAAGGTTCAGGACCAGTCATTACAAATGCAGGGAGTTACACAGCAGATGACAGGAACAACAATATCAGACAACCAAGGTACACAAGAACATTTAAACGTTATCTCAAGCAAAACATCTACATGCTATCTACATCATGGAATCAAAACCATTACAAGGCAACTTGCTTACTTTCTCATAAGCATGCCAATAGAACAAAAGACAACAGGGGTTGTTTTAGAATAATAAAATGTTCCCCAAAGCATTCCAAGGATTCCTTTCAAAAAAAACAAGTACTCCCTCTGTTTTTTTTATATGACGTAATGAACTAACCAACGTCATATATTTAGGGATGGAGGTAGTACTAAAATTGAGTTTTTTTTTTTGGTTTTACAAAATCTCATTGATGCCACCTGAGTTCTCAACAAAAAAGGACAATGTTGCCACCCCATTGGCATAGATAACTTACAAGGTCTCCACCAAGTTCACACAAATAACAGGATCCCTGGCCATCCAAAACGAATCCTAAAAGATAAAAACTTCAGATACGAGTATATGACCCTCCACTCCCTAGCCTAATCCCCATACTAATACAAGTCAGACGACTGCAACCAAGCCATCCCATAATTTTCCCCTCAAGGCCTCAACTCAAACGCTACTAGTTCCTGAAACCCTATAAGCACTAACAAGCCGCTCGATGTAGTAAGCCGAACAAACAAACAGCCCCATATATCATCAGCCACTAGAACAAAAGGTTATGAAATTTGCTCCCCACACACAGATTCAGGGCTACGGTACGAGAGGACGCGTGCTATGACACAATACCTTCTGGACAAGGTTAGCGGTGCTGCGTCCGTTGGGCAGGTCGACGACCTCGCCGAGGGAGACGCAGGTTGCCTTGGCGCTGACCTCCCCGCAGTTCTCGCACCGCAGCTGCGATCCACCACAACAACAGAGGCGCCAACACCACCAATCAGCACCACCCCCAACCAAATCGAGAGAGATCAAAGGGAGGAGGAGGAGGAGAGAGAGAGGAGCGATCGAGCACCCGGACCTTGAAGTAGTAGGGGTAGGTCGGGTCGTCGCAGCCGTAGCGGGGCTGCAGGTTGGTGAGGTTGTCCAGGTCCGCCCACCAGTACAGCGCGTAGTACACCATCTCCCCCCTCCGGCCGCCGCCGCCGCCTTCTTCCTCGCTAGGGTTAGGGTTAGGGTTCTGGACCCCGGTCGGTCGCCGACGAAGTCGAGAAATCGGGGGCTCGCTTCCGGTGGATTCGCGAATGGAGAACGGAGTCGCGGCGGTAGTGCGTAGAGAGAGGAATATGTCGTGTTGTTGCGACTTGCCAGGGACACGGCGTTTCAAGGGTTTTTACAAGAATGCCCCTGGATTTGGCGGTGCGATAGATGGTGTGGCGGTGCGATAGATGGTGTTCCATGGATTTTTTTTCGAGGGTAATTTGGTTATATGAATGGACCCAGTGGACGTCTGGACGAGATGGGGTTCGGGAATTGGATTCGCTGGGATTTCCTTCCAAGGCTTTGCGTTCGGAGAACGAATTCTTTTGCTGAAATATGATGAATTTGCTCAGAGCTATTCGAAAATTTGAATGAGTGAATTGGTAACTAGTGTGGTTTTTTATCAACTGAGATTAAGCTCAACTTTGGCTTTGATCAAAGCTCGAATAAAATAGCCTGATGAGCTCGATTTGACCTGGGGAAGTGGCACTTTTTGTCTGTGATCCTTTTACTTCCAACATTATCAAAAAAATCAGTTCGTGAAATTAAGGAAAGCAACATGACATACTTCAGTTCAGTAAGAAAATCAAGATTGCAGTAAGTACTTACTCCATACAACAACAAGAACACACAAATGTCACCCCGAATGATTTGTCCACAAATTTCCCAAGAAGCAGCAGCATCTCAGCCTGCATCTAAGCAAGACACAAGAAATTTGCAGCAAGCAGCTAATGAATTCCTCCTCCTAGTGGGGATGGCCGGCGCCGGCGCGGAGGGAGCGGAGGCGGTCGAGCCACTGGTCCTCGGGGACGCTGCCGGCCCACGGAGGCGGCGCGCCGGGGAACTCCACGCCGCGCATCGCGTCCACGATCCGCGCCGCGGCGCCCGCGGGGAGCGGGGCGCGGCGGCGCCGCTCGTCCTCCGAGAACGCACGGGCCGCCTCCTCCCCAAGCCCCAGGCCTTCCTCCTCCTCCGCCACCGTATCCTCCCCGTCCGCGCCCTCGCAGTGGTCGTCATCGCCGCCGGAGTCGAGATCCAGCTCGGAGACGCCGTTCCCGATGGAGCCGAGGCGGTGGTGGGGCGCCGGGTCGGGATCTGTGTCGGTGTCGGAGTCGGTGGCGGCGGCGGAGATGGGGCGGTAGTCGGCCTCGGGGTCCGAGGCGGAGGAGGAGTGGTCAGGGAGGTCGGTGGAGGCCGGGAGGTGGCCGTTCCCGGGGATGGACATGGCCGCCGCCGCCGCCGCCCGGCGATGAGGAAAGAAAGCGTAGGAAGGCAAGGGTGAAGTAGTGGAGATAACGTTTCTCGACGACAGCAACAAATTTGTGCACGAAGCCCAATCTTCTACCCTGTTGTAGTCGAGTGTAATGCCATTTGGGCCGTAAGCCCTTTTACGCCGGATTAACATCAAGTCAAACCTTTGTCTACGATTTCCATTTTCTTTTACAACAAAGTACAAACGTGCACATATTCATCCATATGAACACACATTCTTTTTTCTAAGGGAATGAACACACATCTTAACTCCTACGATTTTCATATATCTAATCTAAATATTTAAAAATATATAGATTTTTTTAAAAAAATGGAACTTATTTTAGAGTTGTTAAAACATAACAATTTATTGTGATTTTCAATTGTTTTGTGATAAAATTAGTTAACAACATTACAATTTGAAGATCCCATCAACATTTTTGTTACTAGTTTATGCTTTTCCTTCTTTTTTTTTGTGTGTGTGTGCATCCTCCTGGGAGAACATTAACCTTCATTCTGTATTCGTAGAATTTTCAGCAATCTACATGGATACCATGATCTCATCCACAATTTTTACGAAGAGGATTCAATAACCAAGACCATTAAATTGAGCAGTGAAATATAACGTAACAGAAGATATCACCATAAACATTTAAGTCGTCATGCAGGTGAAAATGAATGATGCAAAAGATGAGCTCATGATCTTTTTCCTATCAATTTCAAATCGCCTTTCAATCCAACATAGCTGCCCTACAAGGGTTTGCTTAATTTGCAGATATGTTTCCTTTACACAATAAACAAAGAAATACACCTGATCGATAAAAAACACAACGAACAGCCCAGCACAGCAGCACTCCTGTACAATTGGAAACCGCAGGAGAGGAGCAAGCGCTGCTGATTACACAACAATCTTCACTCACACACACACACTCAACTCACACAGTCAGCATCTCCACACAAACCAAGCAAATCTAACCCAAATCAATCTAGAACTTGTCTATGCCGACGCCATCCCTGACGACCTCGTAGGCGTCGCGATTCCTGGCCTTGTTCATGCCGGCGGCGAAGTGCACCTTGGTGGCCTCGGTCCTGACGGCCATCACCTTGGTCCAGATGAGGATCTTGGTCTTGAGGCCCTCGACCTCCGACAGCTTCCCCTTCTCCAGGTAGCCCGTCACGGTGGTGGAGAAGCGGAGCACGGAGGAGTCCTTGTAGCCGACCTCGCAGGCCGACGAGATGTACACCGTCAGCTTCTTCGTCTCCTCGTTGAACTCGTAGTTGGTCGCGTCCTGCGGGAAGAGACCCACTGGGAGGTCGTACTCCTTGAGGAACTCCGGCAATGGCTTCTGCATCTTCCCTGAACACAGTGAGGTGTTTTTGCTGACATTAGTGTGAAAAAAACGATGGTTGAAATTTTTTTGCTTTTACTAAATTGATATGCCAATGTTCATCAAGACATGCAGTTTGGAACTTGAAAGTTCAGAAGAAACGGCTTGCTCCTATGCAGATTACATTGCCACTAGAAAAATAACGGTTCAGAGTGGAATATTTGCTCTCTGCACATTTAAAATGTACATGTGTTTATGGAGAACACAAAGTACTTAAAGTTTGTACTACTATTACCGGCATGGCCAATATAAAGATATCTCCTTACCTTTGATCTTGTTGACCATCCATTTGGCACCATCTCCAATGCTGCTAGAGATTGACTGAAATTTTACATATAGTCAGAACACAAGCTACAAAAAGAAAATGTTCTATTACTTGGAAGTTGGAAGCATTACAATCACATCATATAATGCAGCATGAATGTCTATAAGATACCCATTTTTGCAATATCCTGCTGTTACAAATTCATGATCAATGTCCACATGCACAAGACCATCTCACAATCCTGATTGTCAATACAGAAAAATACATGGCCTAATTGCTGTTCAACTACCAAGTCACCAATCCCACAACCTCAGCCAACGTTGTCATATTCACCTCCCTGTTGTAGCACTGCACTTTCTCCTTCCTTAACTACACTATATCCCCACAACTATCAGCACCTAAATGTACTACCTCCTGAAAATCATTGTGCAACTAATGGCACCTAAATTATCACGTATAAATAGCCTCCAGTCTCTTTATGAAACTTTATATCAGTTGATCATTTTCACCCTAGATGGATGTGGCTTCAAGCAAATCAAGTTCTCCCAATGTATAATGTTAATTTATAATTTCACCGAATCCATATATCATTACAAAAGCCACCTTACGATATGTGTGCAGCACGTTCTGTAATAGATTCCTGACCAAATCAATTTGCTCTACCAGAACAATCATCTCGTTTAAATTCAAGTAACAATTTCGGTAAGGATAATCTTCGGCAGGCTGCGAGACTATCGACAAAGTGAATTCGTAAGATCCAACAACAGCAACAAACTAACGAAAAATTTATCCTTGGAAAAATCGAACAGCCCAAAAAATTACCAATAACAGGAGACCACGATCCAGGTTAGAATGAACAAAACGTGATTAAGAAGAGGGAACTATCGATCGTGCAATGCGACGACTCCAATCAGATGAGAAAACAAAAGCATTCGAAAGAAAGGATCGAAAGGGATAGAAAGGTTGCTGACATTGATATCGTCGCCGATGTTGTTGATCTCCTTGCCGGCATTCTGCTTGAACCAGTACCCGCCCACTTTCCCCATGATCTGATCCATCTCCCCTCGATCTCCAGTTCTCCACCGATCTCAACTTCTTCTAACCTTCCCCTCTCCTAGAACAAAAATCCAAATCTCAAAATTTTCCAACAAATTTCCTTCGCTGTTCGAATGGATTTTGGAGTTTTAATTTGGACCCCTCCCCTCCCGTCCGTCTTTGCTCTTATCGTCATTGGCAATTTTTAGAGGGAGGCACGCCCTTCGTGGTGGGACCCACGTCGGCTGACGTGGACTGCGTCCGTAGAGCGGATAAAAGGGCCGAAACCCGGTCCACGAGTCCACAGATGTTGGGCCAAAAGGTCCAGCCCATGACTGTGCATAACCGCATAACCGTTGCCACGTCACAGTGCCACGCCGCACGCGGTGACGCCACCCGTTTCACACCAGGCCGCGCGATCGGGACCCGGCAACGAATCGGACGGCTCAGATCGACGCGCGGAGACGCGCTCCGGCCAATCAGATCGCGCCGACCACGTCACTTGATATCGGATCTTGAACGGAACCCGTTAATCCAGCCAGTTGGGTAGATATCAGCGCGCGGGTTCAGACGCGGAGAGAATTCTGAATTCCGCACTCAGATTTTCGGGCGAGAAGACGAGTGACCAAGTTGGGACGGGAGCACGAGCGATTGGCGCAGGGCAGATTCATCAGGTGCGCGCGAAAATCATCCTCTTTTCGCCATCTCTCCGATTAGCCTGCTTTGATTCCGTACGCGTTCATGTTGAATCGATGTCTTAGATCGGGCTTGTTTGGTTTGGCCGATTTAGAATTCTGGGATGGGTACCGCTTCTGTTCCAGATCTTGCTGTTCAGAATTCAGATTGGCTGCGGGGGGTTTGATGTGATGTTAGGATGTGTCATGAAGGGAAATCGAATTGTTTTATCGAAGTATTTCTGTTGTAGTTCTAGTGCTTTGTCAGGATCTGGGAATGGATCTGAATTCTTGATAAGATGTTCGTGTGTTACCTCATATATCGCGTGTCACTCATGATCTTCTCTGCGGATTTTTGTGGGGGATCATTTTGTCCGTACCAACATATTTGCTCAAAATTCTATTACGAAATCTCTCCTCCATGTTGTTTGTTCATATTCCAGCGTAAGAAATTGGTTTCATGTAGCGTAGCTTGTGTTGCAGCAATGAATATGCTGCCATCCCTGTACATACACAGACACTATACTTGTTTTACAGTTCTTACACTTGGGCAGCATCATGTCAATGGGTGTTTGGCCAAGCCCAGGACAGCCCCAAAATTTTTCAGCAGAATTCTGGGACTAGTTGTCATTTTTTCTTTTTCTGTGGTAAATTTAACTTAAGCTTGTTTAGTTATAGTTATGCAGCATCCAGGAGCAGTTAGTTTGATAGATTATGAATGTATATAGGCATGAGCAACAGCAACCATTTCTTTTTTATATTTTTATTAGCACTCAAATGTGACAACTAAAACTTCACTGGTATTGGTGTAGTACTATCATACACTTCCAAGATGTGTACCTTATTCTGCCTTCTGACATATTCCACATTGAAGAAACTTCTGTGCTTCTTATTTTGCCTTTTGACATATTCCACATTGAAGAAACTTCTGTGCTTATAAAATAGTCACTTCCAAAATGCTGTGTGACAGCATAAACCGTATCTTCCAAAATGATAGACATATTTTAACACTTCCTATGTATATGCAATACGACTTTGGATGAAACTCTGTTGTTCTGTTGGTTTTCTGTAATATTAGTGCTGCAAACCTTACATTTGAAACTCATATTATCATGCAGAGGGATAAAGCAAGATGGTGGCCAATGGAGATGCCCCGGCTAGAGGGAGTGCAGCAGCTGCTGCAAGCTTGCGCAGGCGTAGAACCACCAGCAGTGGCACTGGTGGAGGCGGTGCCAGCACAATGCTCCAGTTCTACACCGATGAGGCTGCTGGGCGCAAGATGTCCCCGAACTCAGTCCTCATCATGAGCATTGGGTTCATTGCCGTCGTTGCTCTTCTGCATGTTTTCGGCAAGCTTTACCGCACCTCCGCCTAGGCTGTCATTATCATACCCGCATGCGAAATTTGTCAACAGAGGAACCCGTAGCCTAATGGAATAGCAAATGACTATCAGAGTATGAAAAATTTTGCTGTTACCATCATACCATGGAATCTTATATAGTACCTTACAATACTAACCTGTTGTGGTTCTGTCCTTACAAGTCGTTTTTGGTCATTGCTAATAGTTAAGTCTTATGTTAGTTTCTGTAGTTCTGTCATATTTCTGCTCTTATCTTTATCAGTCCTTTTCTTACCTGTGGCCATCTCCCCTTATCTCTGAAGTTGGGGCACTTGATCCTTTTGTTTATATCTCTATATGTTAAGGATCTGAAGCCCAACACTACAATGCAGTATGTGTTTGTTGTTTGAAAGACAGTTGGATTGACATGACATTCTACCAGTGGGATGTTTGAATAAATTCAAATACTGAATACAGAATACCCCAAGTTTTTTCTTGATATAAGGATGTTTGCATTTGCTGATTGGTGTTGGTTGGTACGCTGGTTGGTGACCATGCAGTTGTAGATTGCACCTGAAAATGCTGGAAGCTGAACCTGACAAAAAGGTTGGCAAATGCGCAAAAATGAGGCTATTGTTCTACTAGAATTTCAGACGAGTTTTTTACAGAAAGGTTGTTGGCTTCCACTTCTGTCTTCCTTGCTGGATTTGTGATCTTGAATTTCAACCGTGAAATTCATCTTCTGTGAAGACGGTCCCCCCTTCTGAAATGCAAGCTATCTGTTTGGAAGACTTGGATAACACAGGAATTCAGAGAAAACCCGCCCTCCATTGTATATCTCGTAGTGTATTCCGCCAGAGGTAACCATTCTATTCCACTACAAATCATCGGCCAAAATTACCCGCGTGGCATTAGAGTCATGGATGCATAATATTTATCAATTAGGATTCAAATTCGGTTGCACAGTAGAGTGGGGTGTGCATATAATATTCATCAATTAGGATTCAAGTTCAGTTGCACTTGTAATGAGAATTTACAGAGTTTCAGGGATTCACCCATCTTTCGTTTAATCAAAACAGAAAAATGAACACGGAGTACACCGTTAACATTTGGTCCCTCAAAACGATTCCACTGTACTGAGAAAATGAGAAGCAACTGAAAGAAGGGAGCGAAACAAACCCAGCAAAACCCATTTCTAACCACACCACGGTCACCTGCCACGCCTTCCAGAACCCGCCTCTCCTCCCGCCGCGCGCGGGCTCCAACCCGATCTCACCGCAAATCGAACGCTCCACATTGAGCCACGTACACCGCCTCCTTCTGCTACAAAAACCCCAACCCACGCACCACCACCACCATTTCCACGCCCCTCTCTCCATTCCCCCACCTTTTCCAGCTTCTCGTCGCAATCGCAACCGCCTCCCAAATCACACAAACCCCAAGGCCAAAACCCTCGCCTCCACCACCACCACCACCGCCGCCGCCGCCGCCGCGCCGCCATGAAGGGCCCCGTGGAGGTCACCTTCCTGGACGGCGACGACGACAGCGACGACGACGACCGGTGGTACTACAGCCCCAGGAGGGAGGCCGTCCTCTGCATCGGCGACGACCTCGCCCTCGTCGACGTCACCTTCCCCGTGGACGACATGGACACCAACCCGTGGTTCCGGGGGATCGCGCAGCTGTGCCGCGGCCACCGCCTCCGCGCCCCGCTCGTCGTCGGCCTCGTCGCGCTCCGCGGCCGCGCGCCGCCCTACAACTGGTGCCCGTGGGACGCGAGCGGCGTGCGCGGCCACCCGCGGGACCCCCGCAACCCCATCCGCTGCATCGCGATCTGCGTCGGCGGCTCCCACGCCCTCGTCTACCAGCCCTGCTGCGACCGCGGCAGCTCCAAGTACACCGGCGGCGTGCTGCCTTTCAGCGAGGGAGGCTGCAAGATGGCGCGGCTCCGCGCGTTCCTGCGCGACAGGCGCGTCACGGTGGCCTGCGTCGGCGCGCGCGAGGCGGCGGAGAAGCTCGCGGAGGAGTGGGAGGTGGACGTGGCGCGGCCGGTGGAGCTCACGGATCTGTTCGCGCGCGCGTTCGGCAAGGTGGCCGGGGTGGACACGGTGAAGCCGCCCAAGGAGCCGGAGCCGGATAGGCGGTGGATGACCACGTCGGCGCTCCTGAGGGCGGAGGCCAAGGCGGAGGCGGAGGCGGCCAAGGAGAACCACTACAGCTACAGCAAGCGCGGGAAGCGGCCGGCGGCGGAGGTGGTGAAGGGGCTGAGCATGGAGCGCATGGCGCACGTGGCGCTCGGCCCGGAGATGCGGCTGGCGCCATGGCCGGAGAAGGCGGCCGACGCGGACTGGGGCAGCTGCTACCTGGAGAAGAGCGACTGGAAGTACGCGGCGCGCGACGCCTACCTCTGCTTGGAGATCGCCGCCGTCTGCCTCCAGAAGCTCGGCGCGCCCGTCGGTAACTGATCCTCTCTCCCCTCTCCGGCGAGCCTACCATTTGTCGTGTTCGTCACTAGAATGATCGTGGTGGTGGTCACGAATCTGATCGATCTTGCATGCTTACGAGCGATGATTAGTCAGGTCAGGTCTAAGTGATGGGTTTAGTGTAGTTAATCGTTGGATTACAGGATTAGTGCTAATGCAGATACGGTATATGCCTCAGTCAGTATGTCGTAATGGAATAATCTCTAGTAGTGTCGTGGTATTATGGTAAGTAGGTGTTGATGGGAGCTTGTTGCATGGTGACGGTATTACTTGGATCATCGGATTGCGGACTTGAGAAAATTGAGATGTGTGGTTTGGTTTCTGACTGTTTGGGACTATTTGATGATTTTACCTGTTCGTTCTCCGGCTTACAGTAGTACTATATGCTTTTGGCTTATGGTTTGGTTGATACTCTTGATAATGCGCATGTTTAGCACAACCTTTTCTCGGTTGGTATATTACAACATGTCAAAAAAGAATTGTTTGTGTTCATGCATGCACGAGAATACCAGATGGCAGATTGTGTGCGTATGTGGTCAGGCGATGGCTCCGCCGAGCTTTGTGAAGCTACCTGGACGTGACGTGAGTAGGTGGAAACATTGGAAGTATATACTCCCTCCGTCCAAGGCAAACCGTGGGTTTGCGTGCCAACGTTTGACTGTCCGTCTTATATAAAATTTTTTTATAATTAGTATTTTTATTATTGTTAGATGATAAAATATGATGAATACTTTATGCGTGACTTATCTTTTTAATTTTTTTCATAATTTTTTTAAATAAGACCGACGGTCAAATATTGGACACGGAAACCAGTGTTTGTCTTTTTTTTGTTGGGACAGAGGGAGTATACCGCATTTCTTGTCCCAGGAACACCGGAACAATCTTGTCCCTTCTTTATTAGCGGAGCAAACTTGTAATCAGTGTTTGCAAATGAAACAGATAAAATAGCGGTGTCTTTTCCCCAGCTCATTAGCTTCTGCTATTCTCTGCTTAACCGGCAAGCCAATCAGCCATGGTTCTACATAGCGTTCACATATACTCCCTCCATCCCAAAAAAAAGGCAAACTATGGGTTTCCGTGTCCAACTTTGACTGTCCGTCTTATATGAAATTTTTTTATAATTCGTATTTTTATTGTTGCTAGATGATAAAACATGATTAATATTTTATGCGTGACTTGTCTTTTTAATTTTTTTTCGTAACTTTTTCAAATAAGACGAATGGTTAAACATTGGGCACGAAAACCAGGTTTGTCTTTTTTGGGTACAGAGGGAGTAGGTGTCATCCCTATATATAACAAAAAACAATCTCGCATGCGGATGGAACATGCCCCTTTTTTTAGCCTTGTAAAACATGACCGCGAGATATAACATGTGGAATAGAGAGCGATGAGAGCATATCACATATTTATATATATATATGTTAATGTCACATATAAATATGTTAATAAATTTAGATACATAATTACATATGGGTAGCATATAACTGAGTATCCCACTACATAGTGTGGCGAACAAACACGAGACGGAGCAATCCATTGGTTAACTTTATATAATATAGGCTATGTTTGGTAAGCAAACAAACTCTAGGGTAACTTAACCTAATTTTTCTTTAAAATGAACGTAAACTAGTGTACTTGTCCCGCATGCCTAACTTTTCAGGCTTGTTTGCATTTGCATGCATGCAGCTTGGAGCTTGCTCATGTAATCAAGCTCAAGGAATACAAATGTTCTCCAGCGACAAAATGATCTTGCCACTTCCAAGAAAATCAGGTTACCTACTCGCTACACAAGCCTGTTAAGACAATTCCATATTCCTAAAACAAGATAATTTCGTCTCAAAATATAAGTGGGAAAACCTGTCTCGATTAAGAGAGAAATCTGCTCCCTGTCACAAATACCAGTCGTTTTGGAAAAAGCATCCAATCAAACTATTGAAGCTTTGGGGTCAACATCTTTTTAAATATATAAATTTGATACATGAAAATCATACATGTCGATTTTGCATCAAAAAGCACTTTCCTAGTATAACACATTGAGCGAGTTCTATTAAGTATTTTACATTGTATATTAGTGATCAAAGTTGTATTTGAGAGAACATATTGATGCCCAAAATGAAGTCTATTTGCGACTTTGAGGGACTACAAGTATGTACAGTAAACATAAGATCAATCATAGCATCCAATCTACTTCTAATAAATGGTCAAGACAAAAAAAGCGCTTACCATAATCTGGCAAAACTCTTCTCTACATTTACAAGCAGTCAAATGCCATCCAGCATATAAGTGCCAGTTTCCCAGCTACGAGTCATCTTGTTGCCTTTCCATCTGTATTGACCGGAAAATCCGTGCTGCTGACTCTGAAGCTGTTTGTGAATTATTATGCGGAATGACCCTAATAACATTGGTCTGGTTGTCCCGGCTGCCAGATGAGGGCTGAGGCTGTGTGTTCTGAGCTGATGCTGTAGGGAAGGCGGACACAGGACCACTTCCACCGCATTGGAGCCTGTCAAAAGGACTGCTAGCGCTGCTGGCTTGCGCCTCACTATCTCTTGAGGCATGAAATCTCCAAATGCCACTTGGATGTGACATGTTGCATGACATCCGAGAGTGTTGCTCCAAGTTCCCATAAGGCTGTGGCATAGAAGGATGCCTGCCTTGTTCTACTGCAGATGCTAGTGCAACTGGGTTCATCACTGGTACACTGAAAGGCGGGAAGTAGTTCATAGGCATGGTAGGAGTGCCAGGAGCACCCATATGTTGTGGTTGATGAGGTATAGGAACACCATATGCTGAATTCATGAAATCTCCAGTTGTCGATGGGAGCCTCAGGGGAGTACAATTGGCATAAAATGGGGCCAATATGCTTCCGGCTGGAGGACATGGGCCAGAATAAGGCTTATAGACAAGCCCTTCTGAAGGAGACATGACAGGGATAAGCCACTGATTCTGCGGTGGTTGTAGTTGAACCCCACAGTTATTCTGTCTGTTATCAGAAGCAACGGGCGTAGCTCGAAGATTGCTTTTTGATGCACCGATTTTTGCAGTTTGATCATGATGACCACTGACAGGTGCAGTATCACGAGGAGAGGGTGGGTTCTCTTCAGAATTTTCTTTCGATAATTCTGGTTCCTGTAGACTTGGCTGCACATCATCATTGGTTGCAACTAACACAGGCTGAGCTTTCAAGTTCTCTTCCGCCATTTTTTTCTTGCTAGCTAACAAGGCATTGCCAAGGCAAGGATCACCTTCAATAAGTACATGTGGCGATGCTGCAATCAACTTCTGCACCTGTTTGTAAGTCAAATACAAATTTTGGTTATTTTCATACTCTACACCAAATTCTATCCATGAACTAACCTGCTTATGAGTGACAAAAAAGAAGAGAACTTATATCTTTTTGATGTAGAGTGTAGACTCACTTTTACCAACTTATGCAGCTCAAAAACTTGGGCAGCAAAAACCCTCTGTTGACTGCATAGAGTTCAAAGAAGATTTTGAGTGTAAACCGAGAAACAAAACTATGCAATGATTTGGTAAAGCAATATTCATTGCATCAATTTAATAGTAACACCTTTACAATTGTTATGGGCAAACACCACTTAGAGGGTGACAGGGTAGCATTGACTTGGTTGGTATGAGAGGAGACTATAGGTTGGAATGAAAAACTTGTGGGAGAGAGGCCAGATTGATTCATCTACATTGCTTAATTTCTAATGGCTATGTGCTAATTTTTTATTGGAATGACTACTGCAAAGAGAATCTCTCTCTCTAAGATTAGCTCCTCTAATACCTAGGAGATATGTACAAAGAGGAAACCCCAACTAATAAGGAAACAAACTATTCTTATCTCAAATTTCCAACTAATAGCAAACCAGCAGGTCCACATGAATACTATCCCTGCACATAACAATATTTTTCAATAAAATTGTGCCTTTCTACTTCACTGAAAGGAAAAGAAAATTGAAACCATTGTACATCTGTAAAAGAGAACATTTCAAGAGCACAGCTGTACAGTACAACAAAAGGCATGGACAAACAGATTGACCTAGTTGACAAAAGAGGTTGGTGTTTCTGACATGGTATCACTTAAGTTTTTTTAACAGGCCTGCATCCTTTCCTGACAATAACTAATCCAGTTACAGCAAATGTGACACCAAATATAAGTATTCATATCTTAGAATCAATAAACATGCTGATTTGTAAGCTCAATATATTTGGCATAAGTTAGGTTTATGTTCAGCTCTTGTTTGATGGCTAAAGTATCGATGTCAGAAAATTAGGTAAGTGAGCATAGCTTGCATGCTCAAGACGGAGTGCCATGCATGGTCTTTTAAATATCGTCAGGAGCTCATATATTTTGCTCACATACCAGAAAAAACAAAAAATAATGAGATAGTTTGTCTTCATTTTTTTTCCCTCTTAAGACGATTACAATCAACTGTAAGCTAAGAACAAATGACTGTAAAGCAAGGAAACAGAACATGGACATTTTGTTCATGAATGCTACACAAACTAAATTGTAACTACTAATGTCAAGTTTAAGCAGGCTAGAATAAAGCTCCGTTCGACTCATCTTAAAAATCGAACAAGCTCAAACAGTTTCAAACCAAATATAAACAACGAACCACCGTATGATTACCTTTCTAAACCTTTCAAATTTGCATATCAATTTGGGAACAAGAACTACATAAATAAATAGAATTATAAAGAAACAATCAAAATGACATTATGATAGCAACCGAGCTCGCTTAAATCCTTGGATACTGAATGTTGACGTCGCGAAAGTTAGTTAATTAGTTTTTTTTTTTTCTTTTTTCTTTTTTTTTTTTTTTTTTGCGATAGTTTAAGTTAGTTATCTGAAATCTACATGTTTGCAGAAACAAGGCTAGAAAGATATGACCTCGACTCACACTCATCTTTTACAGTCAAACTACAAAATACACCCAAACTCATCTCATTTGTATTTTAGTTGATCTTGAGTTGAGGTAAAAAGCAAGTTGATTGAGCAGCTCATGAGCCTAGTAGCCTACAGCTATTCTTGCAGCCCTATACTTACTATAGAAGAATCAGTATATCATTATATTTTGCTTTCATCAATGATATACTTAATACAATCAAATTATTCTAGTGTAGTACACTTACTTTATGATAGCCCGCCTTGCTTTCCAAAAATGCTTTGCACCAATGGCACCAACAATTTCATCTGGAGAAATCTCCCAAGCAGTTATACACTCCACTGAGGAATCAGACAAATCATCAATTTTCTCTGCATTATCCTGTGCTTCCAACCTTTTTCTCTTTGTACCAGCTTCCTTTAAGCCTCCTTGAGGTAAATTACAATGCCCATTGGTATTTTCAATACCAGGAGATGGTTTAGCGGATATTGTATTTCTTCTCACTGGAGGGTTCTGAAATTTCACGGAACTCCCGTTTCTACTTGTCGCTTGATGCTCGCTGTTTTCCAAATGTGGCTCATCCAAATCATTTATAGTGCCTGTCTTAGGACATACTTTAGCATGTTTGCTTCCAAACATATCTTTGGATGCCTCAAATGATGAAAAATGTTCAACTTCCACATTTTTCAATGTTTGTGCTGGTCCTGTCTCCTTGTCTTTCTGAGAACCCCTTGATTTCACATCAGAAACATTGATTCTCTCCAAGTTCTTACTAACAGTGTTATAACACTTTGTCGGTGATTTGGACACTGCTGGAGGGCTTTTGTGCGGACTGAGAGCAACAAGGGGTGTTGATTCCTCTTGAACCCCCGCACGCTCTTTAGTAGAATATTGAGGAAATCTGGCACTGAAAACAGAAGGTACAATGAATTCATCATCATCAGCCAATTTCCTTCCCGAAGAACTCTTTATGCCCTTTTCCACCCTTTGCTGTGGGGCACACTCAGCCCTTGATCCTGAACCATATTTATCAATGCCCTTAGGCTGAGTGGATAACATCCCCGAATCTTTTCTTGAACCATTAATCTGTCTGTTGACAGAATTTGAATTCATCTTTTCAACAGACTGGCCAGGTCCATTGGAAGGCACATTGAACGGCTCAAAAAGAGGCATGTCACATCCATATACCTGGAAGCAGAAATTTGTTTCAGTACTTCATTTATTGAATATATATAATTGGAATACGAAGCGTGAATGAGCATGCAGTTCAGTGGTAGAGCACTCGTTACAGGCGCCGCCCACCCTGGGCTCGAATCCTAGGTGCCGCATTTGTGCCCAACTGCCCCCCCCCCCCCCCCCCTCATAAGGTTTAGGTGGCCCCTTCTTTAAAGCTAAGTGAAGGGTCGTCCTTCCCCCTTCATCGAGTTTATTTTTTTTAAAGGAATACTAAGTTACTTCAAGCTATGACTTGGGACATTTGCCACAGGTACAGGTACTTCATGTCTACAACTACCCAATTATAGAAAATTAATTGATTTCTTGTAGGAAGATATTACAGGATTGTCCTCCAGTGTAGTTTTCCCCTCATACAAACTCAAAGAAGATGATAATAGTCAATAATCGATATTTATCACATATGCTTTGAACATCATAACAAAGTAACTTTTGATCATTCCAGTTTACCTGTCAACCGTATATTACAAACACCAGACCTCAGCAAACACAACTTTTACCAAATCTAGTAATAGCAATTCGCAATAGACTATAATATCCAATAGTAGCAGTTAAGCTGAGTTGGCATCTCCTCAGCACACAATTGGTTGAAACTAGAAACATTGTCCTGATGTTTTCCAATCCCAGCCATAGAATTGAAATGTTCCGAAATAAAAGCTTGCGAAGAAGAATTTCCTAAACAATAACTCCTAATACGTGATAATTGGCCAGGCGATCCTAATATAAGAAAGAACTCTGGGTATTGAGTTGCGTTAACTGCCAGTTCACCCAAAAGCAGCTGATGAGAAATGAGAGCCAATTCAATTATAATTTGACCCTACGCTCTCTCCAGGTTTCAGAAGTGGAATAGAACTGGACTGTGATTTTTATTTTGAAAATAATTCAACAAGCCAAGATACAAACTTGAGACCTCTTGGCTTTGATACCATGTCGAGTCGCATGCACCTGGCCACCTGTTAGTTCACCCGAAAGTTTAAGCTAATGTGGAAAGGTAGACAATTCAATTGTACTTCAACATTGAAGAACTCGCATGAATAACATTCTTAGACGGACAGTTGCCCGATTAGTATACTTTTACAAACAGCGGAGTCAGCACACGATTTTACAAGAAGGGATGCCAAACATGTGAGCAAAGTGCACATCAAATGGGTTGTTAGCCATGGAGGAAGAGGCTCAATTATGGAAGTGCACAAGCATATGCTAATCGGTCTATGACTACATATAGAGAGGTATTACTACATACTGACGGCATGTGAATCGGCACATGAATTGAATACGCACGCAACGGAAGGAAGATGATAAGATGTCATTTGTGCCTCGAAATCATCTTCCTAGCTTTAATTCTATCCGATTCACTAGTCACAACCCCACAACAATCGAGCACAAGCGCAGACCCCCTCACCTGGCTCTGGCTCGCCGCCGACGTCGAGCGCGCCAGGCTGCCCCGAGCCGAGGCGAGCGCGCCGCCTCCGCCGCTGAAGCGGTGGGACGGCACGGTGAACTGCTCGTAGAGCGCCATCTTGTTCCTGGGCGGCGCCCGCGGGCCGCCGCCCTTGGCGGCGTCGTTGACGTGGAGCCGCGGGAACAGCGGGCCCATCACCTTCCCCCTCTCCTCCACCTCCTTCCCTCCTCCTCCTCCTCCCCTCATCGCCGCCTCCCCCCGCAGAAACCACCAACCCACCAGCAGCAGGTCGAGGAAAGGAAGGAGAACCCCCTCTCCCGATCGATTCGTAGGCCGCAGGTTGTGGGGGAGGTCAGGTCAGGCCATGGCGGGGCGGAGGAGGAGCGCGAGGCGGGGGGCGGTGTCTGTGGTGGCCATGGAATGGAAGGCGAAGGAAGCTACGGAGGAGGAGAAAGGGGGGGAGATAGTTTGCCCTTTTTGGGGGTGGGTTCTGGATCTGGATGCCAGCAAGGAGAGAGAGAGAGAGAGAGAGAGCGATGCTCCTCCTGCAGTCATGCTCATCCATAGACGGACCCACCGTGAGAGAGAGAGAGGGTGGGGAAAAAAATTGGACAGCTTGAGTGGATGTTACGTTCCATGCACCCACAGATTTGATCGATCCATCGTGGAAATAGCCTGATCAGTCTCCCAGCCGTTTAAGCGGCCGGCCCCTTTTAGGCTTTTGTCTCGTTGTGGTTTCAGTATTCCGACAACCGGTCTAGATGATTATAGGATAAGACCCTATTTATATTCATATACTCCCTCCATCCTATAATATAAGGGATTTTGAGATTATGTTTGTACTGTTTGACCACTTGTCTTATTCAAAAAAAATTTAGAATTATTATTTATTTTTTTGACTTATTTTATTATCTAAAGTATTTTAAGCACAACTTTTCAATTTTTATATTTACACAATTTTTTTGAATAAGAAGAGTGGTCAAACAATGCAAACAAAAACTCAAAATCCCTTATATTATAGGACGGAGGAATTATCTATATTCATATTCATAGTACCGGATGATATCTTATCCTGTACTACTAGATAGTACTCCCTTCATCTTAAATAAATATAATTTTACAATGTTTTATGTCCAACGTTTAACCGTTTCTCTTATTTGAAAATTTTTTATGATTGGTAGTGTTTTTTATTGTTATTTGATTATAAAACATGAATATTACTTCATATGTGACTATTTTTTTCTATTTTTTTCATAAGTTTTTCAAATAAGACGGAGGGTCAAACGCTGGGCACGGAGACCCACGGCTGCACTTATTTTGGGACGGATGTTGTCGGTGATATGGGACCGGGAGTATCATGACCAGAGGCTTGAGGCAGACACAATCGCCCACGTGGCCTGGCACCTTCGGGGACGTCGGGCCCGAGGGTGAGGTGTCCGCCCTCCTCCTGATTTCCCCCGATGGGGGGGGGTCGGGTTGCGTTTGCCCCGGCCCCGAGGGTCGAGGCACCCCGACCCCTTAAGGAAGTCTGCGCCATATATATGGGATAAGTGAGCACAGCTGTGCTCACCTAACCGCATTTATTGTGGTCTGGTCAAGCGTAACACGCTGCACGCCACGCAGCGTGGTGCAGCGCACTCTTTTATCCGGTCTGTGACCAGTCACAGACCGGTCAGATCAACAGTTAGGTGGCGACTGGCGGTCTGACGCACGCCACGCCCCATCCCGTCAAGACGAGAGCCTCTAGACACTCGTCCCCAGCTAGAGCTAGCGTGTTACATCCCGGAGATGGCACGTTAGCCCCGGTCGATATATGCCAGGCTTCATCCTAACCATTACAGGCAAGATGTTGTGCAAAGAAGGGCAAACATGCACGTTGCCAAGATTACACGCGGTGGACAAGAATGACCGATTTGTGACCGGTCTGACAATGATCATATCGTCAGCGCACAGCCGTGTACCCACGACGCGCCCACCCCCGGCGGAAGTGGAGGTAGGTGTGGGCTGTCCCATCGGAGTGTCATTCGAACAGCAACCGTGCTGATCTCCGCCTATTCTAGAGAAAAAGAACAGTCCAGTTTGGGAAGAAAAGGGTGCATGTGGTATCCCCTTGAAGTATAAAAGGAGGACCTTGCCCATAGAGAAGGGGGGGTTTTTTGATTCTTTTCCAGATTGAGAGCATAGGACGGGGGAGAAGTCAGCTCACACTTGTAGCTCATTCATACACAGATCCACCAAAACACAGGAGTAGGGTATTACGCTTCTCAGCGGCCCGAACCTGTCTAGATCGCCGGTGTCTCGTGTTTCTTGCTGACAGACGATCTTTCCACATACAGAGAGAGAGAGAGAGCTTGAGATTTCACCCTAAGCCCCCGGCCGAACTGGCAAAGGGGGGCCTGCGCGGTCTCCCGGTGAGGAGCCACGAGCTCCGTCATCTGGCGCGCCAGGTAGGGGGCTCAGCGTGTGCTTTCTGAGCTCTCAGACTCTTCCGTGTGCCCCAAGTTTTTCTTGTTCAGCCTAATGGCCGAGCAAGGAAAAACGCGCGACCTCTCTCCGAGTGTGAGCGGCGACGATGGGGAGCCGAATCCACGCCGTCGAGCTCGTACTCCCCCGCCTCCACTCCAAAGTCCTAAGCAGGGGGAGGCGCTTGAGAGGGTCGACAAATCAGCGGCATCACCAGCCGCAGGTGATGCAGGAGAACGGCGAGATGGGGAGCGTCGCCTCCTCGTCTACGGCGACGGCAGCACGCCTCAGGGCGCGCTTCAGGCTGCTGGCGCGCTCCTACGACACCCGCCTGTCGTTCATGACCCGGAGTCTCCAGCCCAACGATGGCTGGAAGACGTGGCCAACTTGGTCATGACGGCGCAGCAGCGCCTGGGTGCTGGTGGACGGTCCGCCACCACCAAGACCTCCGGCGCCGCTACCACCGGCTCCGTGTCATCAAGGCGGAGGGCGCGGCGAGCGGCGGCGGCTGCACGTCATTCGGCTGCCACTCCCTCGTCGACACCGTCGACTCGGGAGGATCAGCATGGGGAGCCGGATGCCCGCCTCAACGTCGAGCGCCGGCGTAATAGCCGGCGTACTCCCCGTGCAACGGAGGGCGCCTCCTCGTCCAGAGTGTCACCTCGACACGGACGTGAAGATCAGCCCTCCGTGCCCCCGGCCGGTGGTGTTGGCTGTAGAGCCTTTGTGGCGAGTCTTCGGAATGTCCGTTGGCCCCCAAGGTTCCGGCCCACCATCACCGAGAAGTACGATGGGAGCGTCAACCCCACCGAGTTTCTCCAGGTCTATACGACCGGGATCGAGGCCGCTGGGGGTGACGACAGGGTCATGGCGAACTTCTTTCCCATGGCCCTAAAAGGACAGGCGCGGGGTTGGCTAATGAACCTGCCACCCGCGTCGGTCCACTCCTGGGAAGATTTGTGCCAACAATTCACCATGAACTTTCAAGGCACATATCCGCGCCCAGGCGAAGAAGCGGACTTGCATGCAGTACAGCGAGGCGATGATGAGTCGCTTCGCTCGTATATTCAGCGGTTTTGCCAAGTCCGCAATACTATACCATGCATCCCTGCACACGCGGTGATCTACGCGTTCAGGGGGGGTGTGCGGCACAACCGCATGCTCGAAAAGATTGCCTCCAAAGAGCCCCAGACTACCGCAGAGCTTTTTCAGCTCGCGGACCGAGTGGCTCGTAAGGAGGAGGCCTGGACCTGGAACTCCTCCGGTTCCGGAATGGCAGCTTCGGCCGCCCCCGGATCCGCCGCTCAGACAGGGCGGCGTGACAGGAGGAGGAAGAAGAGGCCGGACCGTTCCGGCGACGAGGGTCATGTCCTCGCCGTCGAGGGCGCTCCGCGGGCCACTCGAAAGGGGAGGCCTGCGAGCGACAAAAAGAAAGAGGCCGGTACTCCCGGCAGGGAGCGCCCCGCCGGCAGGTGGTGCTCCGTCCACAACACCTCCCTCCACGATCTCGCGGACTGTCGTGCAGTCAAAAACCTGGCTGAGCGAACGAGGAAGTGGGAGGAGGACAGGAGGCAGGAACGCCGTGAGGGCAAGTCCCCGGCGGTTCCTTCCGGCAAACGGCGAAGTGAGGCCAGACAAAGGGCCCCCGCTGTTGACATCGACGATGGTGATGATGACCTAGGTTTCCAAGAACCTGGGGCCACCATTGCCACCGTCGATGGAGGAGCATGTGCTCACGTCTCTCGTCGGAGCTTCAAGGCTATGAAGCGAGAGCTTCTGGCCATGGCCCCTACCCATGAGGCGATGCGTCGGGCGCGGTGGTCGGAGGTTGCTCTCACTTTCGACCAGACCGACCACCCACCGTGCATTGCCCGGGGAGGGCAGGTTGCGATGGTGGTTTCCCCCACCATCTGCAACGTGAAATTGGGACGTGTCCTCATAGATGGAGGAGCGTCTCTCAACATCCTTTCCCCCGCGGCCTTTGATGCTATCAAGGCCCCGGGGATGGTGCTCCAACCGTCTCAACCGATCATCGGTGTGACGCCGGGGCACACGTGGCCATTAGGTCACATCGACCTGCCGGTCACCTTCGGTGGGCCCGCCAACTTCCGCACGGAGCGGGTGAGCTTCGATGTGGCGGACCTCAGTCTGCCCTACAACGCGGTCCTAGGGAGACCCGCGTTGGTGAAGTTCATGGCGGCGGTCCACTACGCCTACCTCCAGATGAAGATGCCGGGCCCCGGTGGCCCCATCTCTGTCCGTGGCGACCTTAAAGTCGCGCTCGCTTGCATGGAGCAGCGCACGGACCACCTCGCTGCCGCGACCAAGCCCGAGGGTGGTGACGAGAGGCTTGGCACCTCTGCCCCCACCGCCCCGAGGCAGCGGATCGCCACATGCGACGAGGTCCCGGTCAAGGAGGTCGCCTTGGGCGACGGCCCATCCAAGACCACACGGATCGGTGGTCTTCTGGATGGCAAATAGGAAGACGCGCTCGTCTCCTTCCTGCGGGCAAACGCTGACGTCTTCGCATGGAGACCAGCGGACATGCCCGGGGTCCCCAGGGAGGTGATTGAGCACCGTCTCGCCGTGCGGCCGGACGCAAGGCCGGTCCGTCAGAAAGTGCGGCGGCAGGCCCCGGAACGTCAAGCCTTCATCTGCGAGGAGGTGGCAAGACTTCTGGAGGCCGGATTCATCCGTGAAGTCATCCATCCGGAGTGGCTGGCGAACCCGGTGGTCGTTCCCAAGGCGAACGGCAAGCTTCGGATGTGCATCGACTACACCGACCTTAACAAGGCATGTCCTAAGGATCCTTACCCCCTGCCTCGCATAGATCAGATCGTCGACTCCACTGCGGGGTGCGACCTTTTGTGTTTTCTAGATGCATACTCTGGTTATCATCAAATTCGCATGGCTAGGGAGGATGAGGAAAAAACTGCGTTCATTACCCCCGTAGGAACCTATTGTTATACATCAATGCCCTTCGGGTTAAAGAATGCAGGTCCTACTTTTCAGCGTACTACTCGAATTTCTTTGGGTAGCCAAAT